CTGGCATGTGCCAGACTGTGGGCCGGAGCCCAGGGCCAGGGCTCAGGCACGGCCACCCTTCCCTGCCAGAGCTGCCACACTCCCATACTCATTTCTCCTCCATTAAAGAATTTATTTTCAAAGTGCTTCTTCTCCGAGACCATCTCGAGGAAATACTGGGGGCAATTGCACTCACTAAGCCTGCTAAATAATTAACCTCAAATAAGTAATGGCACTGGGCAACGAGTTAATTTTATCCCAATATTTAAGCATCTACAGATTTTGCAGAGTCAATCAGGAGGGCTTCCCCAGGAACCCCGTTGCCGCCCGCAGCCAGCTCCTCGCCGTTAAACACACGCCTGTGTGGGCAGGGCTCCCTCCCAGGAGCGCGATTTCACATGAATTCCGTCTCTGCACGCACCCTTGGCCCCTCCTCTGCTGTTTCAGTCTCTTTGGCTGTCGCAGCCCGTTTTACCAACACCAGCCGGCGTCTCGGATGCGGGGATGGCGGCGTGTTCTGGCCTGTGAAAAGCAGCAGCATCTCCGACCGTCCTCCTTCCCTCTTCCTCGCAGGAGCCCTCGCCCCACTGCAGCTCCTGCTCTCCTGCCCTTCCCTCAGGCAGCACGCCCACCCCGAGACCGGGAAGGGAACCGAAGCAAGACCTGGGAGACTTTCATATCCAGAAATAGTTTACTTAAAGTTTTAGGAACATTGTCGTGTATTGTCAGTCATATTTAGGAGAACAATTATACAGAACATTTGAGTTTAAATTGGAGCTGAATGTTCACGTAGGAGGCACAAAGCCCTGTGCTTGCCATCTTTGGCCATCGACAAGAGGAAATTGAGAGGTTTGTCCTTTGCAGATTCACAAGCTAAAACACTGGCATCAGTTACTGCAATACGTGGTGCTCAATTGACTGTCAGACAATGCAATGTATCCCTGTGCTTCCATGAAAGAGCTAGATTAATATTAAAAACCCACCAGGTGAGAAGTTCAGCCCACCAGTTCAGCTCTTACGGACTGCTCCGAGCGGCAGACGCCAGCGCTTCGCACCATCCGTGCGGGACCCCTGCACCACGCGGCAGCGTTTGAAGTGAGCAGCGTCCACGTCCAAACCAGAGAGGTTTCACAGCAGCAGCACTGAAATTCACGTATTGGCAGCACAGAAAACGTTACTGGCCCTGTGGCACTGACACCCCCCAGCCTTGCCACCTCCCTGGGAAGGGTGGCCGAGGTCCTCGACACACTGTGGTGCTTGGTCGGCGCAGCGAGACCTGTTCCCGTACGCGGCTGTTACGAAATCCCTCGCCCTGCCCTGTCTGTTCTCACTTGGCAGAGAGCAAACCTGGCGCAGCCGGGACGAGCAGCCTCAAGCATCCAAACGCCTGGATTTTCCAGTTAAAGGAACCCAGTGCAAAGCTTGGGGAGAAAACAAACAAACAAATTCAGGGAGCCAGCATGCTGGCACACAGGAACAGACATGGAGACTGGGCACGTCTCTCTGGCCAAAGCCACTTAGAAAGCTTAACCTCTGCGCAGCATCCTGAGCACGGAGAAAGACCCATGTCTTAGGTCCTTATCACCTTAGCCGTCCGACCACAGCCAGGCAAGAGGCTTTTCACCTGAGCCGTTCACACGAACATGAGCTGCTCGCTCGGGGCTGCGTACAAACACGGCTCTTCAGCTGCAGGAGCATGGCAAGTCCTGGGAGATGCCCACTCAGACAGGGTCTGAGCATCCCATCGCGCCCCAGTCCCTGTTCCCCATCCTGCTGCCTGCTTCTTCATTAGTTTTTATTTCATCTCCCTATCTGGCCACAACACAATGCAGATGAGCTGAATCAGCGAGCGGGATTGCTGACACCATCCTCTACCGGGGACCTTTGCTGTGGGCGGGGAAGGAGATCACATCAACTGTCCGGGGGCTCGAGTGCCGCACTGTGCACTGACCCTCTTGCCCGGGGTCCCAAAGCAGCCTACACCAGCTAAAGGTCACACACGCAGCCAGGCAGGATAGAGCGGTCTTTGAACAGGAGCTTTTATTTGAAACGATGGACTGGACACAGCTGTGGCACAAGATGCTCTTCCAATAGTCACACAGCACAGTCTTCACCCATAGCCTATTCCTGTCGCACATAGTAACCTTGTGAAGCACCTTGATTTTTATTAATTTTCTGGACAGACCCTCTCTGTATTGCTTGCTGATGGCTCTCTATCAGACAGGCCAGCATACCCCCCTAAATTTAACTTTCTTGAAACCCAGAGCTCGTGACCTGCAGGAGGCAGCTGCAGCGGCCTCCTTCGTGCTAGACAATAAACTATAGCAAAACACAGCGTAATGTCTTCACTTGGGGTGAATATCTTCTCATGCTTAGTTTTGATATTAAAATTGAATTTCAGTGTAAAGACTTACATATGTTTTGAGCTATTAGATGCATTAATTTCACGCTTTCGCTCCTGCCACTTGAGAGGTACAGGATTGTTAAGATGTTTAATTGTAGTAAATTTTTTAGCAGACAGTATTTTACAAGCTGCAAAAATACCTGAAAGGCTTGAATGGATGCCAGCAGTCCAAAAAGCCTGAAGCAAGCATTTATATGCTGAAACAGGGACTTCAGAGGACAAGAATTACCATTTATAGATCACAAAATCAAAACCCAAAACCAGAACACGCTACAGTGGTACCTGTTTTCCAAGTAGCCAAATAAAGACATTAGTGATGGAGGATTGTGTTAATGGGGACAGACTGCGTAAGAAGTTGATGCTACTGTGTGTGGATCTGTGGTCACAGCCCAGTAAGATAAGCCCGACAAAGGTACTATCATTGAGGACAATCCTTGTACATGAAGTGGACTTGACCCCTCTCACCCGGAGACCATCCCACCGCAGGGAGGATGGTGGGGATGACCCAGCCCTGCCCTCGCAGCCCCCGGGAGCGATGGCTGGGGACAAGGGGAGGGCCACCCACCACCACAGCGGACAGTTAGGCAGTGCCGGACATGGAGGCAGGCACCGGTCTCAGCATTATGCCTCCCTCCCCGCTGCTGCACTGGGGTGCCAGCGCTCCCCCCGAAACCCCATCCTCTCCCAGCGCCTCTGCTCTGACATTTACCCAAGCTCCCACCACACACATTCTTCTGCAGCAGAGAAAACAAGAACCACCTCTTCTCCACCGCCTCCCTTGTGAGGCTTTATTGGTTTTTAACCCTGGCAGTGGTGGAAAGGGGATCCCCTTTACCTGCACACCTCCCCAGGCAGGGGAGAAGACTGCACGAGAAGAGGCGTCCATTGGAAATCCCACCTCTAAAGGGCTTACGTGTAGGTGCTGCCCCACAGATGCAGCAAACGTGCCAACCATAGGGAGCTGGGAGCAACCTCAGCCCTCTCTGCACAGAGGCACAGGACGAGGGTCCCCATCCATACAGGCTTAGCAACAGACAGTTGAGGTCCAGACAAGCATCCCCAACCCTGAGGACATGCCCAAGCCACCCACCATAGTCTCATCTGAACTTGATGCACACCATATACCTCTTAAGCTAGCTTGCTTGGTGTCAAATACTCAAAAAAAGGAAAAATTGTCACTGCACACTTTATGGGGCTCAATGGTGTCGGTGCCAAGAGCACAGCACCCAGCTCATGGGGTCCCCCAAGCCCAGGAACAGGACTATGCTGCCTGGCACAGACCCCCCCCTGCCAGCCCCTGGTTTCACGCTCAGCTGGGGAGGGTAGGTGGCTGCAGGGGGAAGCAGCTCGGGGGGGGGGATGGCCAGCATCCCTGTTCAGACACTGATGTTTAAAGAACACCCTACTGCGGTCAGGGGTCTGGCTCACCCCTCCCCTGTGCTCAGATTATCACAAACCCTGCAAGGACTACGTGGCCAGCCAAGGCAGAACAAACCAAAAACACCCAGGGAGAAGACTGCAGCACTCAGTTTTCTGTGATGGCAGTAGTTTAGTTAATAGTCTTTCACTTTTAAAAACTCAATGTTTTGTTGATTTTTTTTTTTGCATTTAATTTTCTTCCAGACACCTGCGTGCTGGCTGTGCACCGACCTTGTAGGCAGACCACTCTCAGAGGTGACCAGCTGCGTGCGCAAACCAACACTGACTTTCCCTCAGGGAATGCTGTTTGGATGTTAGTGGCTGTGCTGAAATAGCGTTTCATAGGTGACTCACGCTATTCCTATCACCTCTTACACCGAGTGTGTGCACTTTTGGCTGCCTTAGCATCGCAGGGTTTAGAACAACGATGCACCTGTAAGTTGGTTTTTTTTTTTTTAAAGATGTAAAGACATTTCCCTTGTAACAAAACAAGGAAGAGGCAATAAAGCTAAGCACTGGGCTTTATTTTTCATTCCCACTTTACTTATAACCAAAGTAGCTGTATCCAAGGCTGATCCAAGAGAGCTTTATTATTCCTCACACAACTTCAGATCTACGCATCCTTTCTTGACTTGCAGCATCCGACTGAGTTTACAGAAGCGACACCCCAGGCACTCAACGCATCCCTTGAATAACCCAAGATGGACAAGCGACCCCAGGAGCACGTGCACCGCGATACCCTGCAACACATGTCCATCACCCCCACAGCTACGGCTGTCTCTGCCACCTTGGGATTTTCCTGCTCTGCTCCAGCTCCGGAGCAAGCGTTTCATTTAATTTTTAAATACCCCCAGCATTTCCAGGAATATCAACCATGCAACAGCACAGGGCTGGACAAGGTGTAAGAGGTGCTCACCCCCCCCATGCGTACAGGTACATCTTTACAGCACATTGGTCTCACCTACTCAAAGATGGTGATGGACTTGGCCCGCTCCTCCCCAGCAGCGGAGCAGGGCACCCCCCGGCACACACAGCGGAGGGGCAGAGTCCGTCCCAGACTCGCATGCTCTAACCCTGCAGCAGGTGCAGTTTCCCCCCAACGCTCATTTGCAAGTTATTTTATCATAAGCAAGCAAACATCCACAGCATGGAGCACGCTTTAAAGAGAAACAGCATCTTCTGTAGCAGAAAAAACCTAGCAATTGTGAGCTCATTGCACACTCACCTCTGCAAAAGATATTCCAGTTCTCTGGCAAAGAATGTAGACATTTAATATAAGAAAAAAGACTGAGCACACAGATATCTGCCAGCCTGGACTAGTTGATATTTTCAGCGACTATCAGAAGCATCACTTGATGTAGGGAACAAATACTACCTGCAGAGGCTCAGTGCCGGATCCTGGGACAGTGTCACCCCTATCAGATCCAAGAGGGGAAGGGGACCTCCCCTAGGGACAGGAGAGCTGCACGATGAGGAGCAGGGCAGAGCCCAGGGCGAGGGTGCTGCCGGCTCCGAGGGGAGGGTACGGTTCCCTGGTTCTTGGAGGGGGTCACTGATGCATCACAGGGAAAAACTGGCATTGCAGCATTTCAGGCACCCCCCCCGCCCCCCCCAAGACAGCTCAGGCTGGAAAGCTGTTGTAAATAAAACTCCTGGTCAAACCCAGCCAAAATAAAGGCCCATACTTTACATGCTTAACGACCTCCAACATCGCAGTGGGAACACAATGCCGCTCTGTGGAAACACGCTCGCCTGGAATAACAGGCAGTCGGAGGCAGGGGAGAGGCCAGGGAGCCTGGTCGGTGGGACCTGCCAGGAATGCTTTTGCATTCCAGTTTCAGGGCTAAAGCTCACACGGGTTGAGCCAGTCAGCTGCCCCGGGGCAGAGCTGCACCCTTCCCATCTCACCAGGGTTAAAACCAATTGCCCCGTGTGCCAACTTGTTATTTTTTCATTTTTGTACACTTAGGAGGAGAAAGCTATAGCTACATGTTGCTGCAATTTTATATCATTTGCTTTCAGAAAGTAATCACCTGGATTAATCAAATTCTTCAAACCCATTGCTCTAGTACAGTTGTCAGCAGCCTGTTAGTGTAAACTTCCAGCATGGATTTCAAAAAATACTAACAACCCTTGTTTTTGACCACGACTGTAGGTTTAGTATGCCAAAAGTTACTTTTGAGATGTGTTATTTCCAAAAGACTATTACAAGATCTTAGTCATAAGAAGCTTGGAGAGACTTTATAAAAAACAGCACAACACAGAACCTCCTTTCCAGTCCCTCCTAGTCAGATACGCCGTGTACCTCCCACCCGCAGGCGTACCAATTTCCTTTGCTTCCTCCCCAAGGAAACATTCTCCTGCAAGCTGTATTGGATGCAAGGGGGCACTTAGTTGCTTGCAAGTGAATAGTCAGGCTCTAATTTTTTTTTAACCTTCCCCTTCTCATGTACTTATCAAATGACCCCAGTCCTGGTGGGACCTTGGGGAGCCCACTTCGCCCCCGGGCTGATCCCTGCTCAGAGACATTTGCTTTTGCTGCAGGTCATGCACAGGAGGCTGGCGTTGTCCAGAGCGAAGGGTTTGCCGGTCAGCAGCGTCTCGCACTCCAGGCAGGCAAAGTGCTTCTTGTGCCAGGCCATCCCTTCTGCCTGCTGGTAGTCCTCCGAGAAGATGATCTACAGGACAGACAGACAATTGCTTATTTCCACCATCTCGCCAAGCCGGAGCACAACAGGAGCAGGGAGAACCAGCCCCACACCTCCCACCAAGCCTGTTGGCCACGGAGACCAGGCTTTGGGAAGGGGTAAATAAAAAGCACGGGGCTGCTCCTGAGCAATTAAGCCAAAGTCACGGGCTGCAATTAAGCACTATAAACCCACCAGGTTTTAAATGCAACTAGAGCTGTATTGTTGCTCTGAGATAGATATGGTGCAGTTAACCGAGCGTCATTAACATCATGCGGCTTTACCCCATTTCCTTTAGGCACCTCCGTCTCCCCAGAGCAGCCACAGCCCTGGTGACCAGCACCAGAAGGATGCCGCTCCCAGCCGGCATGCCGGGAGGCACGGGTAGGCGAGCAGGTTAAGACATGTGCCAGAGAATCCCTGAATTAGCCTGCGCCAGGCCCCCAGTGCAGGCAGGGAGCGCCGGGCAGAGGGAACCCGGCCGGTCCCTACCTCGTCGCAGCCGGCGCAGCGTGGCCGGA